CCGGGGAGGTGTGTGGGGGTAAGGCGGGGAAGACAAAGAGGGAGGGGGTGGGTGGGGAGGATGGCGGCAGAGACGGAGAAAGGAGAAGGAGGCTAGGGCGCGGCGGCCGGCACGCCACGCCTGAGCACAGGCGGCGCGCCCGCTCCGCCGCCCACCCGACTACGTAAAACTAGAAGATGAAACCGCGTCCGCCCCGCGCCTCACCCGCCAGCACCAGCTTGACCTTCTGGCCCCCCGACAGCCCCCGGATGGCGTTGTGGGCGGCGATGTCTTCCTCCAGCCCAAAGTCGGCCAGGTGGCCCAGCACCGCCCCCGTGGACAGCGGGCGGTAGTTGCGGAAGTTGGCCAGGCGGGCGTCCATGTCGTTGACCTGCGGTACGGGAGGTACGGGCGGCACAGCTGGCGTGGGTGGGCGAGCGGGGGCAATGCACGATGTGGGGCGGTACCGGCAGGCGGTACAGGCGGGCGGCGCAGGCACGAGGCCAGGGCACGGGTGGGGTGGGAGGCAGGCGGCGGTCAGCACGGCCTTGCCAGCCAGCAGGCAGGCCCTGGCCTCCACTCACCCACCCATGCACACACACACAACACACATACACACAACAACAAAACAAAACACCGCCATGACAACAATTTGTTATTCACAGCCCGCCCCCATGTGTGAGGCCACCCACCATCTTCTGGTACCCCTCCTCAATCAGCTCCGCCCGCCCCTTCCATGTGTTGTTGCGCGCGCTGTTGGGCTGCCCCACCCACACCACCTCGTACTCGTACTCCTTGCGCGCCATGCGCCTGCGGGGTGTGTGGGGTGTGTGGGGGGTGGTGTGGTGTGGGGCGAGGCAGTGATCACGGGAGAGGCAGGGGAGGGCAGGTGGTGTGCGGGAGAAAGGGGAGGGCAGGGGAGGCGGCAGCCCGCGCTGGCGCCCCACGACAATGCGGGCAGCGCCTCCCACAGCGCCCCCAGCAATACCGCTGCCATTACCGGCAGTACCAGTACAGTACCGGTGCAGTACCAGAAGTGGTACCGACCTGGAGTTGAGGTAGTCCACCATGCTCTTGCCCGACGCGATGGCCGCCTCCCGCGCCGCCACCTCCTCCTCTGTGAGCTTCACCGTCGCCTTCTCCAGCGCCTCGCGGTCGTCGCCGTCGGCGTACCTGGTAGGCGGGAGA